TCATGATCTTTATCACATAATAATTAAGATGGAAAGTTAAAATATAGTGTAGTTTGTCATCTTTAATGTGAAATATTTTTAAAAATTTTCAGTATAATGGATTTTTAGTATATCAAAAATTTTTCGCTATACCGGATATCCCGATAAACCGGATATTTTTAGTGGAATCGATAGATCCGGTTTATCGAATTTCACTGTGTACAGTATTTCGAAAATTAAGATCGAGATTAAGATGGATTTTGTAATGATTTTGTAATTAATCAATCATATGGTTTAAGAAATCTTTTGACAATCACATTTTGTTGTTTTAGGGCGTATAATGATAGTCTATCTAATTAAGGTAATTTATTGCTCCATTTTAAATTCAGAATCTTTTTTTTTTTTTTAAAAAAAAGGAGAATTATTTTATAAATAATTTTACTTCATTTGGCAATTAGTGCCATTACGGGTTATCATTAGTTTCCAATTTAAGAAATTGTTTAACAAAGATTTTTTATCGGACGTGTTCAAAAAAATTGTATTCAATCTACGCGAATTACAAAGGATGTTTTTTTAAAAAGTGATCAGTGATCTAAGGTTGCGGGGGCAAAACCCAAATCTCATTTTGGCAAAAGGTATAAATTATCTTGGGAAAGTATTTCTATAAATAAATTAAGGTTTCTAATAATTACATTTGAATATATTTAGGCAAACTTTCCCTTTTTAGTAGACATTTATTTTAAATAAATAGATGTAGCATGAAGTTTTTATGACAAAATAATTTAAAAATCACAAAAACAAAAAATTAAAAAATGCAAGGAATTCAACATGATAAGAGGCTACCACAAGTTTCAAATCCAAAAACACAATCGTTTATAAACGAAACGTGGTTAATAGAAAACGAGTTAAATTCACTTTCTTCAAACATTTCAAATATACTATCTATACAAACCCAAATAACAATTGCAACTTCAGATAAAAATGAAATTTCATTACTCAAATCTCGTGATTCATTAATAAGTTTAACGAAGAATTTATTAATTTCAACGAAAAATAAAATAAAATCACTTGAAGTACAAAATTTAAAAGAAGTTGGAGCCTCTTCGACTGCGAATGATTTTGAATTTAGGAATCAACGAATAATCCATCTTAAAGAAAAATTTATTCAATGTTTGGAAACTTATAAAGATATTGAAAATAATTATATGAAACAACAAAAGGAACGTTTAAATAGACAATTTAAAATTGTAAATCCGAACGCAAATTATGATGATATCGCTGAAACCGATCGGCCTGTTTTTCTTCAATCTATAATGAATACTATAAATCAACGTCAAAATGTTGAGGACTCAAAACGCGTTTTAGAAGAAGTGAATAGACGTCATGATGATATTAAACAAATTGAGAGAACTATTGTCGAATTAGTTGAATTATTTGAAGAAATGAAATTACAGGTCGAATTACAAGATTATATTATCGTAAAAATTGCAAATGAAGTAGAAATGGTTGAAAATGATGCAAAAGATGCAACAGTTGAATTAAAACATGCTGAGGTGAATGCTAAGAATACAAGAAGTTACAAACATATATTTGTTTTAATTATTTTATCTATAATTTGTATCATTATATTAATAATGCTGCTTGTTCTTATGAAACATCATGGATAAAGTTGATTTTGGATGGATTACTTAAAAATGTAAATATTTTTTTTATTTGGTATAACCGTTGAGGGATAATAATCCGAGTTCCACGTATAGAATATTATCGAACAATTAACGGAAAGAAAGGTTTAAAAACATTTTTTACTTTGAGGTGGAGATTTATGAATGAGAAGTTGATTATTAGATAAATATTATATATATAAATAAAATTGTTGTTCTGTACATATCAAAAACTAAATTTAAAAAGACCAAGTTCTTATATTTATACTGTAAACCAAACCCAAATGATCGGTATATGAGTCACAAAAACTATATGGAACTTCTTGTTGAAGTTATATATTTAATACTTAAAATACTGCATAGCTTCGGGTCGGATCTGGTAACTTATAGATCATGATTCTCTCGCTTAATTAAAAAAATCGTTGAATTTCAACATGTGGATTTTCTTTTGATGCCTTTTTATTTCTTTTTTATTTCCTTTTTTTCTTCTTCGGATATCCTAAATGAACACTTCGGTGGTTGTTATTCCACATTCCATACCTTGCTTTCATTATAATTTTCGTAATTTTTTCAATAATGTAGATTTCTTTTGACTCGTTACATATATTAAATTTATGGTTTCTTTTTAAAATGCATAGCAATTTGTTAATTTCAACACTTTGTTACGATAAAATCTCTTAAAACTTTTAAGATTAAAAAAGGAAAACCTAGCTTCAAACGTTAAAAAAAAAAAATGGTAAAGTTTAAATTGGTTTTGATTAATCAGTTAACCAACCATATTTAAATTAACAATTTAATTATAGCTTAAATTCCTTTAAGATTGAAAACATTTAAGAATTCTGCAATTTGGAAAGACCATCAGCCACCCTTTTCTTTCATAAAATCAGATTTATCTTGTATGCGACATTACATTTGGAACTTGAAACAACTACTATTATAATGTCAAAGGCATCAAAGTGATAAATTGACGAACGGGAAACATTTTACAAAGTAATAGAAATCTAGTCAAGAATTAATACCATTAATAAATTGGGTTGAAAAGTAAACATTTCTATATCACGTAATGTGATTTTGACGAAATGACTTAATGCAATCTGAAACTTATTTATTGAGATAAGTTAATTATTTTGAGACTAAGAAAAAATTCTTCTTAGTTGAGAGATTCTCAGAAGTAATTTCCGTTAAATTTTTCTTGATTATTCTATTTTTTTTTTTACAGAGATATTATACTCAGGCAAGTACTTTGAATTTAATGATATATTTTTTAGTGAGTTTTGTTAAAACGTATCAAATATTCTTATATATTATAGATTTTGCTGTAATGTAGTCAATAAAAATGCATTTACCTTAAGTTTAAAGACGCATTTTTTTTAGTTTTTCTTATAAAAGATACCTTAAAATTCAAAGGTATCTTTTATTAATATTTTTTCTAATAAAAAATGTTTAAAATTTAAAGGCATTTTTAATTGTAATTTTGTAAATAAAAGACATTCTAATTTTAAAGTTACTTTATTAGTTTCTTTTAATAAAAAATACTTCTAAAATAAAAATAGAACTGTAATTATTTACAGCTAATTGTAATTACCTTTTTTTGTAATTATTAATTGCAATTAACTGTAATTAATTATAACTTTATTTTTATTTTAAATATCTTTTCATTAACTTTTTTTATTTTTCTAATAAAAATCTTTAAATTTAAAGATATTGTTATTAATTATTTTAATAAAAGATACATTAAAGCTTAAAGACATATTAGATTCAGATTTTTTCAGATCAAATTGTAATTTAAATTAATTTAAAATTATTTTAAATTAATTTTTTATAATTTGAATTTATTTAATTTATAAAAATATTATCCCTTAAATTGTAAGTATAAAATTATTTATAAAACATTTTATGAAACTTAAAATATTTTAACATCTAATGATTATAAAAAGATGAATATTAAATTTTTAAAATTAATAATTATTAATATATATCAATTTTTTAATTTTTTAATTTTAAAAATATAACATTTTAAGTAATAATTATTTAAAATAAAATTCAGTTTTTTGGATTCATTTCATTAAGATCTATTAAATGATAATATTTTTATATTTTTATAATTAATAGATAGCAAGATATATGAATTTATAACTACATTATTTAATTTTCAATAATATTTTTATCAAATTTTCATTAAGAAAATTTTGGAAAGACTAAAATATTACTATACAATTTTCTTCTTTTTTAGATTTAATAGAAATTATAATCTTTTTTTAATAAAAATTCAGAAATTTGTTAAAATATTTTCTTAAAATATTTAATATTAATGATAATAATATTTTAGCTGCCATTTTCTTTGTTCAAACAAATAAAAAATTATTTAAAATAAAAGTTTTTACTAATAAATTACCTACAATTTCTAAATTAGCATTTGCTATTCAGAGATATATAAAGACTAATTATATATAATATGTAATTAATTAATGAAAGATTACTAAACTTATTTAAAGAAAAGAATGATATTGATAGGATTGATACATCTCTATAAAATATTATAAATACATATATTTTATTAAAATTAAAGAAAAATGAAAAGTGAATTTAAGATTTACTTATAAATTAAATAGACCTTATTTGATTCCTTAAACCTTTACTTAAATATTAACTTATGCATCTTTTATTAAAAGAAATTATTCTAAATTTTCTTTTTATCTTTTAAGAAATTCTTTTCTTTCTTCAATTCAACAGGTATTTTAATTCATATAATTTATTTTTTTATCTTTACTTTTTATGATTAAGTATGAATTTTAAAATGTATAAAAACTGTTAAAAAAAACTTAATTATTTTTTTTATTAAATTAAAGAAATATTATAATAAAATTAAAGCTTTAACATTTTACATTATTATTTTAATGTAACTAATTCTTGGAAAAATTATACTAGTTTACTTTAAAATTTAAATTTTTTAATTAAACTTTTTAACAGATATTAATAATATTATTTGAATTTTTTATTGAAAATTAAATCATTAAACATAAATAAACAGGTTATAGTAATTATATATAATTATATAAAAATATAATTTATATTATGGTAATTAATTACAGAATAGTAAATAATTATAATATAATAATTAATTATAGGATGACAATTAATTATAATATGATAATTTTTACAGTATGATAATTATTTATTATAGACATAATTAATTATAAAATGTTGATTAATTATAGAATGATAATTTATTATAGGATAGTAATTATATTTACCAATTTTATTAGATTGCGTTACATTAGAAATAGCTTGTATTAAATTTTTTGAACTAATTTCTTATAAAACTTCATAAGGTCATTCATATGCTGCTAATCTTTTAATAGTTTTATATTTCGATAAAGTCATAACTTCTGAATCTGAAGCACTATTTGACTTTAAAATTGTAACACCAGTTTTTCTTCCTGAATTGTTACTAATAAAATGATCTTTAATATTGATACCAGTAGATTTGCATATATCACTCATAAATGAACGAAGACGATTTTGTCTAATGTGTGATTTTTTAAACCAGATTCCAGTCTTTTATACTATATTAAAAAATAATAGAATTAGATTTTAATAAAATTAAAAGAATAATAAGATATTTACCATATTCTAAAGAATTTAACTATAAATAAAACTGCAAATTAGAATCAACTGGTCTTTTTTTGAAATAATTATTGTAATCCTGTATTATATTAGGATTATCACCTGAGATATACAGAATATCAGCTTGTGTTTCAGATCAATTTATATTTCTCTGATTTGCTTTTAATTCATATAAATAAACAGTAAAACTACCATCATTCTTTTTCTTAAAATTTGATGCTAATAATTTATAATGCTTGTCTCCTCTAAACAATAAAAAAATTGCATTTCTGAAAAAAACATAATATAATAATCCTTCTAATATAGATTTATCTAATTGAGGATATTTAAAAATCATAGCAACTTCACTTTCACTTAAAGGAGAAGCAGTTCTTCATTCACCTAGTCTCTGCCTTACAAGTTGTTTAAATTTTTCATTAATTACTTGCCATAACTTATAGAATTTCACTTGATTTAGTATATTTACTTGATGGATTACAGAATGTTCAGATAAATGTCATGCAATAGCATAAACTCTAACTTTGACAGATAGTGCTTTATAATCTTTTCCATTAACTATTCGCATTGCTATAATAAATTTAATAATTTATTCTTCAAGTTTCTTTTCATTATCAATTTCTTCAATTTTTCAATTTAAATTTATATCTTTTCGAAACTTTTCTAATTGTATAATCCAGTTATTAGTAGACTTATCAGTTGAAGAACAATGGTTAGAACTAAGTATTGCTTGTATTTCTTTAATACTGAGTTCATTGTATTTAAAAGTTAGCTAATAAAAATAAAATTTAAAATTGTTTGAAAATAAATAGCTTTAAAGATAATATATACCTTTACAAATAGTTTTTGTTTTACTTTTGGCATAATAAAAAATATATAAATGGTAAAAGGAAGGGGAAGTAGGAAGAGAAAAAAAAGCAAATAAATTTTATTATAATCAGGACTGAATAATTATATCATAACTTCACAGGTTATCAGAGATTACTTCACAGTTTACATAAGCTATATTTAATTAGTTAAGATTTTATCACTTACGTGATAAAATCTTAACTAATTAAATAAACTCCTGTGAATTGTGAAGTAATCTCTGATAATCTGTGAAGTTACTATTAATAATTTAATATTAAAAATAAAATAAAATAAATATAATTAGTAATATAAAAATATTAAAAATAAATAAAATAAATATAATTAGTAATATAAAAGAAATAAATTAAACATAATTACTAAAAAATTAAATATTAATTATAAATTTAACATAATATTCAAAAAAGTAAATATACTTAATAAAGTAAAAAAAGAATGAATGCAAAAAATAAAAAAAATAAAAATAGCATAAATAAATAAAAGTAAACAGAGAATTTGATATAACATAAGCAAATTACATGATTTATTAATTCATAAAATCATGTAATAAATCAAAAAGTATAAAGCAAAAATTAGAATAGGCAGGTGAAAAAAAAGATAATTGGAGATAAATTTCTATGAAAGAAGAAGAGAGTAAAATT